TTTTTTTAAAAGAAAAAAAAAAAAAAAAAAAAAAAAAAAGGCCAAAAAAAAACCCCCCTTTTTTTTTTTTTTTTTTTTTTTTTTTTTTTTTTTACAGTTTTTGTTTACAATTTTGTTTATATCAGCGGCAACAAGGATGAATCCCTGCCCCTTTGTGGTGTCAGGTAGGCCCCGGCATCGAGTGGGAGCTCAGTGACCTCCTGTCATCCCCGAGGTGTGCTGCTGTGCATCTGGATAGTGTTTCAGGAATGTTGTCACCCCCTGCTCCTCCTCCGCTCCCGTCCCAGCTCAGAGAGCCCAGGGGCCTCAGGTGAAACCGAGCAGAGCGTCGGCCCGTTTCTTACTGACGCCGAAGGGATGGAGTTACGCCTCCTTTCAAGGCAACAGCTTATTATGTAACCAGATACCATTGTTTCACAATCACAGCACACTTAGCACGGCTCAGCCATTACACCTTACTAGCTCTGCTGTAGACTCACTCAAGCATGACGGTGTGTCATATAGCTGACTTGTCAGGAGCGCTTGGTGGCCTGATCTCTCCAATACAGGGGCTAGGGCAGATCTTAATATTCTTTTTTTTTTTTTTTTTTTTTTGCATTGACATGAACAGAGAATGAAACTCAGCTGCATCTAAAGCCAGGAATTCCTCCGTGACTCAACTTTAGAGAAAACCCAATAGGGGCACTTTTACAAGCCTCACTAATGCTCAACATGTCTCCAAGCAAAGTCGCAGCAAAGATGGAGTTCAAAGTCGAGCCAAGTCAAGTAAGATCTTTATTGTCTTCTCAACCATTTCTGTGGCGCACAGAAAGACAAAGCGGTCTTGACCAGCAGTTCTCCAGCCTTCCTGCAAGCCTTTCGAGGATTTTCTTTGAAAGTCGTCTGCTTTATTTATTCTGGTTTCATACCTAACGATGGCAGCCATGTTTGCACTGTTTGCAGCCCACTAAGTCGAATTTGTTCTCAGTCGTAAATCTGGCAGTATATTGTAAAGGCTTTCAAAGAGCATCGCGAAGACAAAGGAACACAAGTCGGGGAGAAAAGATGTGGAAAAGTTTAAAACAAGGTTGGGTTCTAAAAGAAAATCTCAACCTTTGAACATCTCCTGGAGCACCCAGATCACGTTACTATCTCTGTGGTGGCAGCAGCATGCTGTGGGGATGCATAATGTTCAGCAGAGAGAGAACGCCTAATCAGAGGTGATGGGGAAACGTAATTTAGCCAATTGCGGGGCCGTTCTGGAAGATTCCTGCTGCAGACATTCAACTTCCAGCGAGATCACAGCCCCAAACGCACAAGCCAGAGCTACAACGGGATCGTTCAGATCAAAGCGTGTTTATCTGTTAAAATAACCCAGTCGAGGTCCAGACCCAAATCTAATTAAGATTTTCTGGCACGACTTAAAAATACATACTTCTGCAGGGTTCTCTATTGATCAAGACCTGTGTAACAACAGCCTGTGCTATTGGAAGTAAATTTTGTAGGAGTAAGGGATGACTCGAGACTTTAGCGCACTTTGCAGTCTGCAGGTTGGGCTTCCTTTTCTTGCCCTGCCAGGACCAGTCAGACCCTGAAAACAGGCCCCCATGAGCCCTGGGCCCCTGGATCTCTGGCTGTCAACCAAGGCCAGCACTGCTCCTGCTACCTGCTGGGCCCATCAATCCGCCTTTGTTTCCCTTGTGTCACACTGTATTATCTGCACAAAGGACCCAGCGACTAGCGCCCCCACAGCCCCGCTCTGCCCAGAGCTGGCATTCCCTTAACTCCCCCTCCGCTCCCTCCAACTACCCATTTCCACCTCCACTCTGAGCTGAAATGGCATACACCCCTCTCCCCCCGCATCTATACCCCAGGTTCCCTAGGCATTCACCAAACAGCAGCGCCAATGTGCACCTGAAGGTGGCGACAGGTTGGACGTCTACAGAACTCCCTTCTCTTTTCCTTACTCCTAAAGAGACTCACTCATGGTCTTTCCTTTGCTACTTCCTTCGCTTCTTCATCCCAAAGATCGTCCGGTCTAGATTTGGAGAGATCCCCTTTCAGGCTGTTTTCGTGACAGAGTCAAAAGGGCGTGTGAATGGGGTGTCCGTGGGAGCTGGACTGTGTGGGGAGCGGACCGGTCTTCATGCACAGTAGGGGTTGAGCGGAGCCCCTAGGCCCTTTTCTGTTGCCTGTAATCTCATTTGGCCTCCCCTATCCCTTTTATTTGACTGGGGAGCTTGGACTGCTCACACTGCCCATTCCTGCCCGGTTTCCCTCTCCTCTGACACACAAGCTAATTCATTTCCAATCAGCAGGCTTAGTCACAATGCAGAAACGTCTACCTTTAAAATCCGGGTTTTGAGCAGAAGACATGGTTCTATTGTTTCCTGTGTAAAGGATACTCCATATCAGTAGTTCTGTTAGGGAAAAGCACCTGATGTTTATATTTTTTTTACAGCGTGTCAACTGCACTTATTGTACCCATCTGCCATTCTGTCAATTCAATATCTGTCTGAATAGAGTCGAAATATATTGCCTTGAAATGTTTTTTTTGTTGTTGTTTTTTTTATGAGGTTTTCACATTTCGTCAGGTTACACCCACAAACTTCAGTGTTCTTTTTCTTTTAACAAACAATATCTAAAAATTATAGTTTGTATTTATATTCAGACCTCTGCGTCAGAACATTCTAGGTCCAACTTTAACTTGAATTACATGTGCATCTCCTTTTGGGGGTATTCTTCTACCATCTTTCTGCTGTAAACGTCTCCAAATCTGTATCCCTGATCTGTCTGCTGCGTTCTTTATTCTTCATTACAGTTGGGCAATATCGAATTGCAGTTATCCTTATCAATATTTCTGAAAATTCTCAATTTCAAAACACTGCTTAATTGTTAATAATATAATTATTGCAATGTTTAGCAATAGTACAGCCCTTGATATTGTTTTTTCTCTGCTAAACCTCTGAGGCCTTCGCCGAACAGTTGGGTTTGTACTCGAATTTAGTTGTACAGAGGTGGAGAATGTGGACTGAGGCTTATTTATGAAAGTAAAAGGGACTGGATACAAATGCACCCTAGTCTTGGAGTCTTTTCACTTTTTTTAGTGTTTGAAGATATTTTCACAACTTTTATTATTATCCTTCATCCAAGTAAAAATGTGCAACTTTCTTTGCCACACACACACACACACACACACACACACACACACACACACACAAAAGAAAACCAATAACATGCATCAAAACTTGTGTTTGTTACATGACCTAATGGATAAAAGTCTTACACACTGGGTCTATGAAAACAATTGGTATCAAGGATCTACCTTTATCCAGCACTGGTCCGAAGATGGCCAGGTTGTCCTTTATGGTGGTGCAGTTCCACCGGCGGCCTCTGAACTGGTGCTGACATTCCTGGATGCCCAGTTTGACGCCCTCAGCAACACTGGGCATGATCTCGATGTAGTTACGACAGAAGCGAAGCTGCTTGGCCACCAAGCCAGGGATGGAGCCACACAGGAGGGGTTGGGAGCCCAGAGACGAGTACTGCTGCCCCAGAGCCAGGGACCTGTGTCACACAGCGAGAGATGAGGGAAGAGGAGGCGGGGGGGGGGGGGGGATCTTTAAAAGACAGCTACAGAACAAGAACAGTCTTGGATTTTTTTTTGTTTTTTTGGTGACTTTCCCAGAAAATGAATGAGTGGGATAATATGGTTGTGCTGAATATGAAAGGATTTTCTGGACCTGGACAAAAAGAAATGCGCCCGGCACCCTCCATTGTATGCATTTTGCCTGGATTTGTATTTAGTGAAGCCTGGGGGTTACAAAAGGTTTCTTGTGTGGAGCCCACTTAGGTTGGATAATATAACTCGTGTTGAAATAAAAAAAAAAACAAAAAAAAACAGCTGAAACCCCTATGTGGGTCTTGGCTTGGACTTAAATTGACATTATGAGAATCAGTACAAATTTGACAACACATGTAGGACCCATATGGGTCTCACTTTTCATCAGCGTTGCCCTACATCAAACTTATGTTGGGAGTTAACGTGGGCTGTTACTGCTCTCTGGAATCAACCTATTTCCTGCCCTCATTGGCCCCGTATGGAATGAATTTACAGAACAATCTGTACAACAAACAAATAAATAAAAAAAGCCAGAGCAGTTTATTGGGCTCTGGTTATGTATTTCCGGTAAAAACATTGGAATGCTTTGCTCCTGGAGGCCATAGCCACCTAATTTCAACCTGAACTCACACATAAAGGAATTTGACTGCAAAAGAGGTCATGACTTAAAGATGCCGGCAAATTCTGAGGTTCCCAAACCCGCCCCTCCATGACTACACCTTGAGGTCCTGTCCATGAGCAGAGCTAACAGGATCGGACACAAGGGCAGCGGAGAATCCAACCCGCACTCGGCGAAAGCTCGATTGTAAAGTTGAGAATGTGGATCCAACTCTTGCTTTGTGCTCACAAGAACCGGAAAAAGCCTTGAGCATCTTCCACAAAACGCCTCGCTGGACATGGTTTGAAGCCTCTCTAGAGACACAATGGACAACCAAACTCTTGGTCTGCAACTCTACAGATGTTGTCCCAGTGACCCGTGCAATACTGAAGAGGTGCATAACCTGCAACAACCCAACAATGATTCCAGAGCCTTCGGCGTCTCATCCCCCACATCCAACTTACTTTTCCAAGTACTTCAACAACAGTTGAAGTACTTGGCTCTTTGTCCTCTGCGGAGGACAAGATGACCAAATTCATGAGATCTTTAATGAAAACCTGTTCACACAAAAAAACATGGGCAAAGTTCCTAGTGGGACAATTTAATTCTTATCAATAAAAAGGATTATGTAGTCGGTATATTCTCAAGTATAGTAAATATGCTGATTGAGTTTTCCTTGTAATGAATGTGAATAAAGGTATCTGATTCTGTAAACCAATGCAGGGCGAAGAGAGGAGTTTTCTAGACGTCAGGCCTTCACATCCATAACCCTGCAAATAACCTCGTCCCACACCAGAAAACGCCTTCTGGTGACAAACAAGTGCTCCTGTTGTACACATTTATGCATCTGATATTGACAATGCTGTTTGCATGGAGGGAAAAGGGTCCAAACCCAACAAATACTCTCAAACTTATCCCAGCTTTAGTCTAAAAGCTGGCTTTGCTTAGAGTTAAAACTTTTTCAGCACCTCATCTCTTCCCATTTGGCAAAAGAAAAGGATAGCTAATTGTCTTTAATCAAAAGGAGATCAAAGATCATTCATTTTCTAAGGATTGATGATGATGATAATAATAATAATAATAATAATAATAATAGCAACTGCATGTTTTTGTTGTCATCTAATAAAAACTTAAAATTATGGTGCGTTCACTAAACACAGTCATGGTTAAAACAAACTACACCCCCTTTTAGTACTAAGTCTTTACATGTCACGACATAAAACAGTCGTCTGCTCCTTCCCAGGTTCTAAAATGATTCAAATCTAACCCCAAGTGTACAAAGGCATTCGACAGATTATACTGAGATTATACTGATCAAATAAAGTTAAAGCGGGAAATAAATCCCAGCGGGCACACCCAGTGATTGATTTATAAACATCTTTAGCAATATTATCTTGAACTAATAATTTTCTGTGCGACTTTATCCTTGTCTTACTGTTTGTGGAGAATTTATTTACACAACATTGCCTCATTGCTGGCATGACATGAAAGTCTGGAAAAATGGCCGCACATTTTAATCTTTGGCATACAGAGGATTCGTGGTCGACCAATGGCTGCAAGGGGTTTAGGTCTTGTGGCTGCAAAACAGTCCCAAATCATCGCTCCTCCGCCATCATGCTTGACAATTGGAATGAGGTGTTTGTGCTGAAATGTTTTGGTTGGTTTCTTACTGACATTATGCCTTTAGTTTATTGCTTTGGGCTAGTTCTTTCCATTTGCATATTTTGATTAAATAAATACAAAGGTTTCTTTGGACTGGTGTTCCTTTGTTAGCTATAGGTCTTTCCCTTTTGCTCCATCTGCTACTTTTACCTCTTCCTTGGTATTTAAGCGCTTCATGGTCTATCGAGTGGCTTCTTCTATTGCCCTCTGTTAATTGCCATGGTTCTCCGTGTTTTCCTCCGCCAACACACAATAAGCAACCTGTTTCCTTTTGTCGATCTTTTATCAAAATCATAGATTCCAAAAGGCCAGTCCACACTGAAATGAATGACCAATAAAGAAATTTTTTTTTTCACATTTTTGTCAATAATATTGTTGACATTTTTATTTTTCAAATTCGAAATGTGCAAAAATAAAGTAAAAATTAAACATTTTTCAAAAAGTGCTTTTAAGCAACTCCAAATCAGACATATTTCTGTTTCAATAATTACTGCTTACAGCTCATAAAACCCAAAAATGTAGCTTTTCAAAAAGAAGAAAGTTTTTTTTTTTTTTCTATAGCAGAAGTATAGGGTTAATTAAGAGTCTAAAAATTTTTGGTAGATTGATTGTGGACTTTATAAAACACGGTTGACACGACACCCCAAATTATCGCTGACAGTGGAAACGTCTCTGTAAAACTTCGGTTAGTTGGAGTTTGTGCCTCTCTACTCTTTCCCCAAACCCTGGGATCAAAGTATAATAGCCCAGGTAAGATGCTCCTGACACTGTTTCTGTTTCGGGAATGATTGAACACAAGGAATGTGACAGTTGTACTCCACGTCCTGGAAACATCTGTGTGAGGTCCACACCTTTTGAATCTCCTCCAAACTCTTGAATGAGCATTCCTTTACAACCCTGTCAATGCTGCGGTTGTTCGCGTTGCTTCTGAATCTTTTTTTTTTTTTTTTTCTACCACAGTTTTTGTCTTACGCTCAGCTTTTCATTAACGTGTCGGACGCAGCACTCTGAAAAGCCTTCAGCTGTGAACGTTTGTGTTGACAAGCACGTTTCTGTAAAGTGAATCCTCTTACTGTTTTGCTGTTAATATTCATCTTGGGCTTCTCGGTGTTGCAGCTTGTAGCACTGTTGCCTTGCAGCAAGACGACCATGGGTTTGAATCCCAGCCTGAATGTTTCTGCGTTTTTGTGTTCTCTCCGGGTACTTAAAATCATTTAATCAATACTCATGCCAACCCTTATCAGTTCCCTGGAATGTGGAAGCAAAGCACAGCAGCATCCATAAAATCCTGCCGCAGCAGTAGCAGCAGCCAGGGGGAACACCGCCTCCAGTTTCAGTAAGGTTATTAATAAAGTTTATACTAAGAGTTCCTGTTTATTTTTCTTTTTTGTTACATCGGGAGGGGGAGTCCCACTCCAGAGCACGGATACCGTTGCTACTGATATTTATTTATTTAATTTTTATATTTCCCACTTGTTAGCATGGACAAAATCCAGATCTGACTAATAAAACACAACAACCTGTTTCCTCGCTTTGAGAAAAGTCCCCTTTATGCAAAATCAACCTAGTTAATTTGTGGTTTTGTTCCTCGAGCTGGTGTTTCAGCAACAACCATGTGTGTTGCTTTTTCACTTGTAATGGACAACAACCAAAAAAAAAAAAAAAAAAAAAGAGTCATGTCTTAAGCGATGAGCCATACCAGAGGACTCCTGCAGATGTGCCTAAACAAAGAATAATCACTGGGGAGTCACGCCAGGAACTATTACACTTTCATTCAGGTAATTAATTTTAATTGCCTTATATTTCTTTTAAACAAAATGAGACAGAAAACATGTTGGTCATGCCTAACTTTTAACATGCTCAAACAGAGCAGCGCAGGTTCTTCCAGAAGCTCAAGCATCTCATGTGGGGCTCAGTAAAGGAGCGTGCCGTGTATTCGTGCCTTTTTTTCCCCCCCCCTTTCCCAATGACAAACGTCGGTGCATTTCAGTGGTATTTTAAGTGATAGGCCGACTCAAAGTTTTAAAGCGATTTGCAAATGAGAAAGAAAGAAAATTTGCTCATTTGACTTCAGTCCCGTTTAATTTGCTTCCTCGATGTTGAGTCCGGCATGTCCAATTTCCTTCAGATGCTCCGTTATCAGAATTAGGTTTTCAAGAGGACATTTATGAACAAACGGCACCATGAAGAGAAAGGAAAACAAACTTCAAGTCAGAGATAAGTTGTGGAGGGGTTTAGAGAAAAGTTAGATTATAAAGCAATATCCCAGGCTTTGAACATCGAACAAAGCAAAAATATTTCCTCATCCAAAAAAGGGGGCAGCATCATGCTGTGGAGACATTTTTCGATCCAATCCTTGATCTGAAAGTGACGTGACAGAATCTGTTGACAGGGCAACCGTTATTTGTTTACACGTCACGTTTAACTTTGTCGTGATCTAATCCAGGAAAGGAGCTACGTAATTTATTATTCATCACATGGTTTGTAGCCCTGTCTCTCCGAGATTACATAACTGACAGAGATTATTCCTCCCATTCCTCCACAGAGTCCGGTGTACTGTACTGAACTGTGGGGAGGAAGTTTCTTCCTGTTAAAAGAGAGTCTACAGTTTGATCCAACCAGCTGTTCTTCTTTTCACAGATAAGTTTTTACCAGCTGCCATCAGGAACTAAGTTTTAAAGCATT